ACCTCTACCTCCCCGACCTCCACCTCTAGCTGGATGAGCAGGTAGGGTAGCAACTGGTGCTGTGATCATAGCCTGGGAACTCTGCGGAGCACACTATGGCTGAGAAGTCTATGAAGGTGCACCCATCCTAAGTCTAGGACAATCCCTCACCACATGGCGTGTGTCACCACACTTAAAACAAGCTCTGGGAGGATGTGGCGGTTGCAGCTAGCTCGGTCCAGTTCTTCTGGACTGACCACTGAAAGCACCCCGTGTAGGAGGCACACTAGATACTGGAGGTGCATAATAAGGCTCCTGAGGTCTAGGAGAATGTGATGACCTGAAAGGCCATCTCTTCTTTTAGAAGTCAAAATTGTATTTCGAGGCCTTAAAAACCTCCTTTTGTCTCACCTTGATTTGCGTCACAGTCCGGGTGCATTTCCGAAAAGCTTTTATGTGAAATTTAAGAAGAATAATGAATTTGGCCTTTAAAATTAATTAAAAGTTGACTTTGGTCAACATTCTTGGTAAATGGACCCAGACACATTATCTGACGGTCCCTAGGGTCCATAGTAAAATATGGAAATCGGGCGTATGCCCGAAATCAATTTCTGAGGTCCCTAGCCTGAGAATTTTTTTTTAAAGAAAATCGTTTGCTGGAAAATATAAAGACTTTTTGCAATGAAATTATGCATTTTCTTGATGGTATCGGGCCCATATTTTGGTTTCGGAGCTCGTTCCAAGTTTAAAATAATAATTAAGTCGAGTTTGTGGAATTTGGTAAGAATCGGAGTTGATTTGGTATAAAACGGACCTTTAGTTGAGAAAATGAAAATTTCAATGTTCTTAAGAGATTTCATGAATTTGAGGTTAAATTCGTAGTTGTTAATGTTATTTTGATGGTTTGATCGCACGAGCAAGTCTGTATGATGTTTTTGGACTTGCGAGCAAGTCTGTATGATGTTTTTGGACTTGCGTGCATGTGTGGTTTGGAGCCCCGAGGGCTCGGGTGAGTTTTGGATAGGCCACGAGGTGATTTGGACTTAGGAATATTGCAGCTGTGCATCTGGTATTTTGCCCAGGCGTCTGATCTCGCAATTGCGAGATCAAGCTTCACAATTACAAAGTGGTCAGGCTTGGGAAATGCGACTAAAGTGTCGCAATTGCGAACCAAGCCTGGGGAGGCTCTCATCGCAAATGCGATCACTGGGCTAGAAATTGCGAAGGTCCATTATCGCAAATGCGATGTCCCCTTTGCAAATGCGAAGTCAACAGATTTTCAAAGGGTTCGCAATTGCGAACCCCTGATCGTAATTGCGACATTTGCGATCTGTTAAGTGGGATTTTGACGCGATTTTTCATCATTTTACAACTTTCTCAAAACCTAAACTCTCATAGGTGATTTTCTTGAAGAGAGTTCTTCCCCAAATCATAGGTAAATGATTTCTAACTTATTTTCTTCAATCTATAGCATCTTTTTACATTATTTCACTTCAAAATCTAAGTTTTTTCATGGGAAATTGGGTGGTTTTGGGTAAAAGTTAGGATTATCGAATTTTGGGGATTTGGACGTCAAATTGAGGTCCGATTTCAAAACTAATTACATATTTGAGTTCATGAGTGAATGGGTGATTGGGTTTTGGTTCGATCTTCGGGTTTTGACCAAGCGGGCCCGGGTTCGATTTTTTGACTTTTTGGGAGAAATAATAGGACACCTATTCTCATGCATTAGAATTGGTTTATTTAGTATTTATTAATGTTATTAAGTAAATTATGACTAGTTAAGCGAATTGGAAGTGGAACCGAGAGGTAAAGCGGTAATTGAGGCTTAATCTTGTCCGTGGAATTGAGGTAAGTGTTTTGTCTAACCTTAGCTTGAGGGAATAAGAGTTGTGGTCTTATTTGCTATGTGTTAGTATGAGTACGACATATAGGTGTGGTGACGAGTATCTATATGTTGGTGTCAAGCATGCATGTAGGTCTTATACCATGATTGTTATAACTTTATTATGCATTGTCCACGCTTAGATTGACAATTATCGATGTTGAACAAAGCTCATGAAAGTTTCTTGGTAATTGGATATTGTTGAGTATTGATTCAAGTTGAGTTTCATTCTGTAACATAATTATTGAAAACGAGATTAGTTATAGTTGAATCCCTTGCTGGGATATTGTTTTGTTGATATTGTTGATTCCCTTGCCGGGATGTATTGTTTCTATTATTTGGGTGAAGAAGAGTGTAAAGCACGAAGGATGATGAAGTGCACGATATTGTGAGTGAGTATAATGCACGAAGGGTGATGTCGTGCCGATATTATGAGTGTTAATGCACGAAGAGTGATGTCGTGTCATGATTTGAGAGTTAATGCATGAAGGGTGATGTTGTGCCGATATTGTGAGGAACAATGCACGAAGGGTGATGTCGTGCTATGATTATGAGAGGTAATGCACGAAGGGTGATGTCGTGTCGTTTTTATTATTTTATATGGTGAGACGAGAGTAAAAGCACGAAGGGTGATGTCGTGCACGTGTTACCGTTTCATTATTCGTGTTGATATAGATATGATGTTTATTATGCTTCTTTATTGGTTTATTGTTAGAATCTGATATCCCCCGCAGCATGTCCCCTTCCCACCTTATTCTGTTGATTCATGTTATTATGATTTTATTGTATATGATTTAACTTCACAGGTATATATATATGATTGTCATGTCATAGCCTCGTCACTACTTCACCGAGGTTAGGCTCGACATCTACTCAGTACCTAGGGCCGGTTGTACTGATACTACACTCTGTACTCTTTTGTGCAGATTTCCGTATCAGACCCGGTAAGTAGCTGAGGTAGCTGCCTTCAGTCCAGGGAGACCAAGGTAGATCTGCTGGCGTCCGCAGAGCCTAAAGTCCCCTTCCCCTTTTTAGCTTTCTGCTATCTATTTTCATTCCAAGAACAGTTGTATTTCTTTCAGACTTGTGTTTGTAGTAAAAATCATAGTCGTTCGTGAATATTGTAACACCAGATTCGTAGGTATACATGTATTGGATTATGTGATTTTGTTATAACTCTTCCACGCTTTTCATTTATTTAGCTATAGTTATTGTTTATATATGTTTGGGTTGATTGCTAATAGGTTGAAACCTTAATAGTTGACTTGCCTAGCTTTCACGAGTAGGCGCCATCATGACTTCCGAGGGTGGGGAAATCTGGGTCGTGACAGAGGAGCTGGAATACCACTGGCTGATGGGAGAGCTGAATGAACGGGGCGACTCACATAACCCCCACCATGAATATAGACATGTAACTTTTGACCCTCCCCATGATTTTATACATTTTAACATTTAAATATTTAGTTTAGGTCTACTATGGCTATTTCAACTAGTTTTGACTTTTTTACTTTATTTTATCACAAAAATAAAAATTATAAAAATATTTTCTCTTATTTAGCAAATTGATCTTTTATATAGTTAATTTTAGTTTATCTATTTTTCATAAAATTAAAAAATACAAAAATAGTATTGATATTATATTTTTCCAAAAAAAAAAGATAAGAAGAATAATTTTGGACTAATTTTATCTTGTTTTTATGTGAGAAGACTATTATTTTGATGGCGAACGGCACAAATAGCCACTAAAAGCAGTGGCTTTTATTTTAAAGCCACTGTTTTCAATGTATTTAGACTTTAGCCACTCCTTTAAAAAACTTATACCTGACTGGACGAAAATACCCTTCTGGTATAACTTATACCTATGCTATCAACACAAGCAGCAGTTACACAAAGAGAAGAAGCGAGCAGCAGCAGCAGTTACCACAGCGGCGATCAACTGAGGACGAACCACCATTTCTCTTCCCGATTTCAAAAATTCAGCATTCTAATCCAAAAAACGACATAGATAAATAGTAAGTTGTAATTTCATGTGTTTCTATCGATTTTTATTTTGCTATAGTTATACTTTTTTAGATCTGTATTGATTTGATTATATATTAGATAAGAATTTGATTTTTTTTGAATTTCTGGATTGATAAATTTATAGACATTGCCTCCTATGATAATTCTGTATTCCGGACATAGTGTCTTCATTTTGGAAATTGAATTCAAAAAAATAAGAACACTATGCCCTTAACTTTGATTCTACTCGCCTCATTTTGCAAATTGAATAAAAAAACTTAAGGACAAAATGTCCTTCACTTTGTTGTTGTTCTTCTGTATACAAAGTCCTGTAGCTTGAGTTTCAAATTGTATGTTTTAATTTCTGGTTCAAATGTTAAGGACTGACAGTCTTTAACTTTTAAATACATGTTTAAATGTTAAGGACTAGCAGTCCTTAACTTTTAATTCCGTGTTTAAATGTTAAAGGACAGGCAGTCCTTAGCTTTTAATTTCTGGTTCAAAAGTTAAGGACTGGCAATCCTTAAGTTTTAATTCCATGTTTAAATGTTAAGGACTGACAGTCCTTAACTTTAATTACATGTTTAAATATTAAAGGACAGACAGTCCTTAGCTTTTCATTTCTTGTTCAAAAGTTAAGGACTGACAGTCCTTAACTTTTAATTCCATGTTTAAATGTTAAAGGACAGACAGTCCTTAGCTTTTAATTTCTGGTTTAAAAGTTAAGGACTGACAGTCCTTAACTTTTAATTCCATGTTTAAATGTTAAGGACTGGCAGTCCTTAGCTTTTAATTTCTTGTTCAAAAGTTAAGGACTGACAGTCCTTAACTTTTAATTCCATGTTTAAAACTTAAGGACTGGCAGTCCTTAACATTTAATTCCATGTTTAAATGTTAAGGACTGGCAGTTCTTAACTTTAATTACATGTTTAAATGTTAAAGGACTGACAGTTCTTAACTTTAATTACATGTTTAAATGTTAAGGACTGGCAGTCCTTAACTTTAATTACATGTTTAAATGTTAAGGACAGACAGTCCTTATCTTGGTCTTGCACTTACAGTACACCTGTTCTTAATTCTACAAGGATTGCTTTATAACGTATGTCCTTTGTTTCCCATTCTCTTGACTTGTAGGATGGAAACAATATGCATAATAGTTGCTTTTAATGGTAGATGGACTGAAGACTATAAATATCTTGATCATCAAACAAAGCTTTTCCTAGCACCTGAGTCAATTCAGTTTGAAGATTTCGTTAAACAGATTTTTGAGCTTATTGAATTGGATAGAGAAAAGTTTGAAATAGTGATATTGTTTGATATCAACCTTGGAACAAGCAAAGGAATGCTTGTATCCAAAGATTTAGATCTTCACACATGTATAGAGTTGTTAAATACTCATTCACTCTTCAAGAGCTGTCGTTTCATAGTTGATATTTCGGAAAGAGTTTTTGCATCAACAAGCAATGAACATGCCAACACAAAAACTCAACATGACAATCAAGAGCGATGCCAACAGATAGTTGAAGTAGATATGGTTGAAGCTCAACCATTAAATGAAGAGGTGCATCAAACATTTGATTCTATTCAAGTAGAAGGACAAAGCATTATAGAGATTGACAACGAACAAGTTTTGGGTGTTCAAGTCTTAGAGAGTGCACCGGTAATCGAAGTAGTTGCTGACAAAACCTGCACTCAAATAACTAGACGAAGATCAAATTTGAAACAAAAAGAATCCCCAACTACGATATTAAGAGAAAATGCTTCTTTGGAGAAAATAAAAGTCGGATCAGTATTTGACAAGAAGAAGAGCATAATTAACTGTTTTTACAATATAGCAATCAAAGGAAATTTTGAATTTAAAGTTGTTAGATCAAGCTCAACAAGATATCTGTTGACATGCAATGATGATAGGTGTCGTTGGTGTGTGCGTGCTTTCAGAATTAAAGACTCAACATTATTCAAGATAGTAAAGCTTGAGAAAAAGCATGACTGCTCTGTTAACACTAGGAAAGTAGATCAAAGGCATGCTACTTCAAAGTTGATTAGTGGTTACATTATCGATAATCTTCGGGACCCAAGATTTGAAGTTACACCAGCTTTTGTCATGGCAGAGATGCAAAAATTGCATGGACTAGACATTGGATATCACAAGGCGTGGCGTGCTATTCAACATGCTTCCGCTTTAATAAGAGGAAGTCCCGAAGAAAATTATGAATTATTGTGTTCATACTTGTATATGATGACAAGTAAGAACCCGGGAACTTATACTAACATAAATATAGACGACAACAACAGGTAAACAATTTAGGACATGCTGTCTTTAGCCTTGTTAACTTTTGAGTTGTAACCAGAAGTTGAGGACTTCCTATCCTTAAGTTTTGAACTTGTAATTAAAAGTTAAGAACTTCCAGTCCTTAAGTTTTGAACTTTGAAATAAAAGTTAAGGACAGCATATCCTTAACTTTATAACTTGTAAATGTTACTTAAGGACTGACTGTCCTAAACTTCAGGTATTTTAACCTTGTTTTATATTATATTTTCAAGTTTCTTTATATGTTTTACGCATATGGATCATCGATAGCTGGTTGGAATCATTGTAGACCAGTGATTGCTGTTGATGCAACTTTTTTGAAGTCAAAATATCGTGGTGTTTTAATGATTTCAGTTTCAAAAGATGCAAATAACCAAATTTTCCCATTAACCTTTGGAATAGCAGAATCTGAAAACAACAATTCCTATGAGTGACTTAATCAGCTTCGCAATGCAATTGGGAGCCGTGAGAATTTGATTTTTTTATCAGACAGGCATCAAGCTATTGCAAATGGAATTGTAAAGGTATATCCTGAAAGCCATCATGGGATTTGCATCTATCATTTGGAGCAGAACCTAAAGCGAAGAAAGGTGAAAAGTGAGGTCATAAAACTTTTCCAAAGTGCTACAAGAGTATACATGCATAAAGAATTTGACATATACATGTTAGATACTGCAAATGTAGATAGGAAAACTTATGACTACTTGATGGAAGAACCATCGGAAAGATGGGCACGTTCTTGTAGTCCACGACGAAGATATGACATGCTCACAACAAACATAGTTGAGTCGATGAATTCAGTGCTATTAGAAGCAAGGGAGCTGCCTATACTAAGAATGATGGATTTCATTCAAGTGAAGCTACAAGATTGGTTTTATGAAAGAAGAAATAAAGCAGAAGGAACATTTTATGATGTTTCTTGTTGGGTAGAGGAGGAATTGAAGAAAAGAATAGATTTAGCATTTACTTTGAACGTAAGTATTATGTTTTATGTTTATATTATGATTTTAACATTTTTTAACATAATGTACTCACTTATAATTTTTCAACATTGAAGGTCTTCCCTGTTGATTCATGGCGTTCTAGAGTTGAAGAAGAAGGAATAACTTTCTTGGTGGACTTAAACAAAAGAACATGTGATTGTTTTCAATTTCAACTTGATGAATTACCATGCATACATGCAATTGCAGCTATCGAGAAGAGAAACATCAAGAAGTCTGACTTTTGTTCGCACTGGTACTTAAAGGAATCTTGGCTGAAAACATATGAAAGACAAATACATC